CGCTTTCTCTTAACTTTAGCCGACAAATTCAGTCATGTGTTTTGCACCGCTGGATGCTGGCGAAGCACTTTGAACTGTTTCCAGTAGATCTGGCACCCCATGGTTTAGGGGCTTGTGTTTGCATATCAGCGCTGCTCGGGGTTAAGTACGGCATCCACAGTTCAGAGATTCAGTCCATGCCTACGTGTCTCTCTCAATCAGCCTGCCGATCTGCGGCCGAACCAGATCGCATCTCAACATCTGTCCTTGAGAGATCAAGCCTTCAGATGTGATCAGAGTCGGCTCGCTAAACTAAAGTAAAACCGACCCGATCTCGCAGCCTGTTCCGCACATGGAGTCCGCTGGGAGCAATAAGGCTGGTGTTTATGTTTGTCATGGCACATGCATTTCGCTCGTTTTTATGCCTTTAACGATTAGAAGAGCTCATAAAAAAAAAGCATTGTTTGCAAGTTATGTTACGAGTTTGTTTCGGTGAAATCTTTTCAAAGGCTCTCCCATATGAAAGACGGGGAGTGGAAGAAATCTCCAAGTCTTTGTCGTTTCTTTTAATCCAAAAGCTGGAGGATGGAACTTTGAGGCAAGATGGAAGAATGTCATAACATTCGTTCTTACTGACGCCAAGGATGGAAATGTGTTCTGTATGTTTGATTTGACTGGCTTGTGGACTGAAGTTAATATTCTCCATATATAAGACCTGGAGCTTTGTTATTTTAATGTAGATTTAACAGCAAACATCGTACTTCTCTGACCCAACATTTAAGCAATAACACTGACTTGTTTCAGCACTTGCCCTAACTCACATGCCAGGTGTCCTTGAGCACAGATAGCTGAAAGAGCGAAGAAATCAATAAAGATTGTCTTTGCTGATTCGGTTTGGGCCTGTTTCATATTTTTACCTACGCTGTCAAAATGTTCCGTTGAGCCAACTAAAATTAAAATAAATAAATAAAATTCTGTCTGATGCATACACAAGACAGAAATATATAAGACAGAAATATATAACGGTACATACACTACAGTTTAAAAGTTTGGGGTCTGTAGGGTTTTTAATAGTTTTAAATATAATTTTGTGAAATATCATTACAATTTAAAGTAGCCGTTTTCTATTTTAATATATTTCCATATCATTACCAATTTTGAAAACTGTTTTCCCACTTAATATTTTTGTAGAAACCGTTACACTTTTTTTCATGATATTTTGTCCCACTTAATATTTTTATACAAACATTATACCTTTTTTCAGCAATTTTTTGAAGAACAGAAAGTTTATAAAACATTTTTGAAACAATCTAAAATAAATAATAAAAAAAAGTTAAAGTATTCACTGATCAATTCATGCACACCTGCTGAATAAAAGTATTAATTTCTTTCAAAAAATTTAATAAATAAATAAATAAATAAATACAATCTTACTAACCCCAAACTTATACGGTAGTGTATATAATATGAGTTCTAATCTATTTTTTTAAATACTATTTTTTTTTTTTATCAAAATAAAACATTCTTTAGGCTTTTAATTAGCAATAATAATAACAGCAAAAAATATATAGAAAATGTACATACCATATGCATAAAAAATATCCTATAACTTTAACTATATAATAAACATCCTATCCCTATTACCATATATATATATATATATATATATATATATATATATATAAAACTCTCTATAACTATGAATTCAAACTTTTTGGAAAGCAATGGAATATGGTGCAAAATGGTACTGATTTGTTTGACACTTCCATTACTATCACAAGTCACAATTTCAACAAAAAACTACATTAGCAGCCTAGATAACGTTACCTTGGTTACATACTTTAATTAGCATAATCACATAGCATAAATACATGACCCAAAACCAAATGTTTGCGATGAATGTTAGATCTCACAATGGCCCCGAGTCATCCTTATTGTTGAGTCCTGCACATGTTGAACTCTTTGCGATTGCATTTGGAGCTTAAATCAGAGAATGTCTAAACGATTTTCAATCTACAGCCAACCAGACGCAATATATTTAATGCATTTTACCTCCTTAACTTGCGAGATTGTCATGGTGGGCTGGGGTTGTCTGAGACTGCGTGATGGACAGTGCTTTTACCATCCAGACCAAGGATAAACTATGACCCTGAACGCACACACATGATCACTTTTCTCTTTCACATTCTTTGTTTAAAAGATGAAATACAGACTGGCCTATGTGTGTGGTGGGATACCAGAATCAAAGGAACCTGCAAACAGACTGGTATGTAAAAAGTTTAGTGGAGCTGCTTTGAGAAACATGTATGCAGGTTCGCTGCCAGAAGCACGGCGTATTACTTTGGGCGATTTGCAAAGGTTATGTGCAAAGCTCACCCAGCAAAGGGGCTGTGTCCTCCGATCCAAAGGAAAAAGCTATATGAGCGCCTGTTTACACACCGCAAATGCATGTTCATACATTCTAAATCTACAGCTTTACATATGAGGTCAGATGCACTTGTCAATAATGATATGAGCTGAATCACTCGCAGATGCCTGATCTTCCTGTTTGTGTCACGTGATAGATAAATGTAAAGTGGTATTATCTATAAAAATCGCGATTAATCTATTAATTAATAAAATATTGTTTACATAATATATGTGAGTGTACTGTGTATATTTATTATGTATATATAAATACTCACACATGCATGTATATATTTAAGAAAAATGTTTTGTTTATATATAATTTATATGATATTTATATATCATATAAATTATATATGAATATAAATATATATACATGTAAATATTTTTTAAATATATACTTGCATGTTTGTGTATTTATATATACATAATAAATATACACAGTACACACAGACATATATTATGTAAACAATAACTTTTATTTTGGATGCGATTAATCGCGATTAATTGTTTGACAGCACTAATAATAAGACATGAATGGATATGAAATATATGATATTAGGGCTGAGTATTGCAATATGTCAAAATTCAATTCATCACAATGAATTACAATCAGAAAATTTAAACTGCATCAAATGGCACATAAGAAAAGAAAATTCCACAAATCATAATTATGACATACAAAACTGAAATAATGACATACTAAGTCATATTTCTGGCATAAAAAGTAATACAATCTGACATAGTCAAAATATCTTAAAAAGAAAATCTTATAATTAAGGTTTTATATCTCATAATTATGATTTTGTATATGATAATTATTACTTAATACCCTGTATGTCAAATTATTATCATATAATTATTTGATCACAATTTTGATCTTTTTTGTCTTATGTGGTAGAAATGGGCTTCCACAACAACCTGCTTCTTCATTAATTAACCTGTGGGAGATGAAATGAATACTGATACAACGACTTGAAATTAATTGCAATACATTAATATATGATTATATTGACAGCTCTAAATTGCTCTACCATTCAAAAGTTTGAGGTCGGTAAGTTTTTGGTCTCTTGAGCTCACCAGTGCTGCATTTATTTGATCAAAAATACACTGAAACAGTAATATTGTGAAATACTATTACAATATTATTACAAAAGAGTTTCTATTATAATATATTTCAAAATGTAATTTATTCCTGTGATGGCAAAACTGAATTTCAGCATCATTACTCCAATCTTCAGTGTCAACATGATCCTTCAGAAACCATTCTAATATGCTGATTTGGTGCTCAAAAAATATTTATTATTCTTATTATTATTACTATTATTATTATTATCATTATGGAAACTGTGATACTTCTTCAAAAGAACAAAATTTATTTGATTTTTTTTTTGTCTATTATAATATATTTCAAAATGTAATTTATTCCTGTGATGGCAAAACTGAATTTCAGCATCATTACTCCAATCTTCAGTGTCCTTCAGATCCTTCAGAAACCATTCTAATATGCTGATTTGGTGCTCAAAAAATATTTATTATTCTTATTATTATTACTATTATTATTATTATTATTATGGAAACTGTGATACTTCTTCAAAAGAACAACATTTATTTGATTTTTTTTTTGGTCTTTTTTTTCCAGTAACTTTTCATCTGTTTAATGCATCCTTACCAAATAAATTATCTTTTTTTTTTTTTTTTAACTTACTGACCCCTTCTTACTGACCCCAAACTTTGAAAAGGTAGTGTATATGGTGTAATTTCTCCAAAAAATAATTTAAGGCCCAATATGTTGTATTGTCATGTGACCATTGTTCAAAACATTGAAAATACATCTTTCAATTTGAACAGCTTTAAAAACAGCAAGATTAGATAACATTTTGAATAATTTTGAATGGACTTCAGTCCCATACAACCTGTTCATCAATGCCAAATCCAATATAGCATCGATATTGAAAGGGAAATTGTTCAGAATAGTGTTCATCAATTTGAGACTTCAACGCTAGATTTGTAACTTAAATTTGGTCCTCTGTAATCTTTGATATAAATGTGCACATAAACACACGGACATATGTGTACATGCCATTCAAAAGCACACACATAAGTGTGTGTAGGTAAGAACGAACATAAATATGCAGCACATATACACAGACAAAAAAGGGAGGGGGATATAGAGATAAAGAGATAGAGATACAAGGACTACAGATGTTAAATAACACCAATGTCAAACAAGAAACAAACGTATTAGACAAGTATGTCATGGCTCCCCACCACAAGCAGCCTTCCTGTGTCATAAACGTGCTGTGATGTGTCATATTTGAGGTATTTGGGTGGAGAAAATGCTTCGGTACCTTTGGTTGCAGGTTTGGATGGAGCAGCACGTAACCATTAGGATCAACTGCGAAATAATATCCATTAGGACCAATCTAAAATGCAACAAAATGGAAAGAGGAGAACAGTGACGACACCTCAAAAAAGAAGACCACCATCAAACCCAAGTCCCTGCTTGGACCAAATGGGCCTGGTTCCTCAGAGATGCGGCGGTTCATCCCTCACTAGCGGGTACTGTCTAATATCCCCGGAGAACGCCGGCCTGAGCTGTCAATAACCCCCGAGCACTTAGCGTTAATCAAATGTGTCGGTTCATCTGGAAACATTCCTCTGAGCTTAACAGAAAATCACAACCATTTACAAATCAAATGTAAGTACAAACAGATGTAATGTACAAGGGCTTACGTCCTCTTAAGAGCGATCTTACTGTAAGGAGGCGAAACCGCAAGACGGCAGACCGCAGAACAATAGCGCATTTATCTTATGCGTGCCGTGTTATTCTTATTACAGGGACTCAAAGAGTCCGCAAAGAAAACATCTAACACGTGAGCTTAGCTTTGTTCTCTTATAAATTGAATTAGCGTTCAAGGAATAGTTCACCCTAAATGAAAACTTGTTGCCGTTTACGTGCCCTCACATCGTCCCAAAACCAGATTTGCTTTCTTCTAAAGTTTTTTTTTTTTTTCAGTGCAATGAAAGTGAATTGGGCAGTCAAGCACCAAATCTAAGAAGAAAGTTTCATAGAAGCACCATAAAATTAGTACATTTGACTCAAGCGCTATATACTTTGTCTCTTGAAGCCATACAATTCTGGTGTGCGACACGACTGACACTTCATATTTTATTCTACACTACTGTTCAAAAGTTTGCGGGTTGGTAAGATTTTTTAATGTTTTTCAAAGTCTCTGATGTTCACCAAGGCTGCATTTATTTGATCAAAAACAGTAACAACTGTGAAATATTATTACAGTTTAAAATTACCGTTTTATAATTTAATATATCTCAAAAAAGTCATTTATTCCTGTGATGGTAAAGCTGAATTTTCAGCAGCCATTACTCCAGTCTTCAGTGTCACATGATCCTTCAGAAAACATTCTTATATTTCGATTTGGTGCTCAAGAAACATTTCTTACTATGAAAATTATGAAAATTGTTTTTGTTTTTTTCAGGATTCTTTAATGAATAGAATATTCAGCAGAACAACATTTATTTAAAAATTTAAATATTTTGTAACATTATAAATGTCTTTGATACTTTTGATCAACTTAATGCGTCCTTCCTGAATAAAAGTAATAATTTATTTAAAAAAAAACTCTACAGAGCCCAAACTTTTGATTAATAGTATCCATGAAGATTATATGTAAATGAAGACTGAAATTTCCACTTTATTATTATTTTTTTTAATTTCACCAGTTTTGTATGATTATTCTATGGTGCTTTTTTGTTGTTTTTGGAGATTGTCTTCAAGGCCTCATTCACATTCATTGTATTAAAAAAAAGAGTGAACTCATCATAACATCATCTTTGTTGTCTCACAGAAGAAAAGTGGATTTGGGCGATTTGGGTTTGAAACAATTGGAGGGTGAGTAAATAATGACGGAATATTCATTTTAGGTCAACTAACCTAACTAACCTTTTCACTTTCATGTATTTTTTATTAGACTGGAACACAAATGCTCAATGTTTTTGAGTTGAAATAGCATGTGTTTGTGGTACTCACTGTAAAGCGGGGCGTCAGTCTTTTGATATCATCGAGAGACACATCCACCCCCATCACTCCTAAAATCAACTGGTTCTGATGCTAAAAGAGAGATCAAAAAACACAAAGTTTCCACTCTGACATGCAATGGAGTGACATTTACAAACAAATATGAGGCAAAACTACGCCTGGAAAGCATAAAACCTTGAATGAGATTTCATAACAACACAAACTGTTGCGAAGGTGTAGAGCGTCACTTCTAAACGGCCTCAATGCTCGTCATCCATACTGGAAATGGATATTAACCTTATCAAAGAAGCCAGTGACGCAGTCGGCGAGTGGAAAATAACGGCAACTTTCAGAGGGTCGAGCGGTTTACTAGACAAACAACGTACGGATCCTTTGACCCCCAACTGGGAAAGTTTAGGATAAGATACTGTTACTTTTCCATATCTGTTACTTTCGTAGTGTTCCTGAGAAGGTCACTGTCCACATGGTTAATACATTCAAGAGTTAATGAGGTTTACACGTTTGCGTCAGTAGTAGTTTTATCCCCATTAAACGTGACAAAAATAGCAGTTTGTTCCAAGAATTGGGCTATTATTAGAGTATTTTGCCTGTTAATGACACATCTGGTGTTCTGGTCTGTGTTCATTCAAAAGTTTTATTCCCGCTTTTGGGGCTCTGCTTGAAACATTGTTCTTGTTTGTGCAGTTAAGGACCTGTGTGCATTTAAATCAATATATACACACTGTTTATTTTTTAATGTAACAACATACATTAACATATCAGAAGTAATCTTTGCATTTTCTATATAGGCTGCTGTTAATGTAGAGAGAATGTAAACCTTTTACAGTACATATATAGAATCAATTTGACAAATACTTTTTCAGGATTTTCATGTTTATACAAAATTGACCATATAACAAACACTATATACACTACCGTTGATAAATCTGGGGTCAGTAAGATTTTTTTTTGTAAGAAATTAATTCTTATTCAGCAGAAAGGAATCAAAATTAATAAAAATAATAAATTATATATATATATATATATATATATTTATATGAGTGTGTGTGTGTGTGTAAAAAGAATGAAAATAATAAGAAATGTTTATTGAGCACCAAATCAACATATTATAATGATTGCAGAAGGATCATGAGACACACAAGATTTGAGTAATCATGCTGAAAATTCAGCTTTGCAATCACAGGAACAAATTACATTTTAAAATATATCACAATAGAAAACAGTTATTTTAAATTTTAATAATATTTCACAATATTACTGTTTTTACTGTATTTTTAATCAAATAAATGCAGCCTTGGGCAGCATAATAGACTTCTTTCAAAAACATAAAAAACAAATTTCACCAACCTTAAACACTTGAATGCTATTGTATATGTGGATTTAATAAATCTATCATTTATATATAACTGATATTCCAGATTTTATACAATTTGGTCAGCCGTTTTACCCTGAAGAAGCTCAAATAGATTTGTTTAGATTTTTCTGTCATTACATAATTCCCATAGTTGTGTCATTCCACAGTCTTAATTATTTCACTTTCATCCAAAATTGTGTAAAGTAATACTAATAAAGAATTAGTGAGTGCTTCCATACTTTTGAAATAAACTGGAAAATCAAGATAAACAATGGACTGACCTGGCTTCGAGATCCGCCCTCCCTGGATTTGGTCTTGTTGAACACAGGTAGCGTGCCAGTGATGACTAGACCCAACTCCTGAAGCCATGAAGAGAACACAAAAAACAATCAAACACAATGCACTCTTACAGTTTCTATGATGTTTATTAAAAAAAAAAGGCTGTACCAGAGCATCCAGGTACACGTTGGTCCACTGCACCTGTTTGGCATCTGCAAGGACCATCGGCCTGCCCAAAACATCTAGATACTCCTAAGCAACAGTGAACAACACAAAGCAATCAACGGGTGGTCATCCTTCGACCTTCAAATACTTCTAAACAAGAGCAACTATCAAAACAAATGAGTCACATTTGAAACGCTTTGGCAATACCCAGACCTGTGTGTTTATGCGAATGGCTCCAATGGATGGGATTTCGTAGAAATATCCTAGAAAACATATCATATGGAGTCATTTAGTTTATTTAGTAATCCAGTGCTGAACCTGCTAAGGAGACTGTGAGATGTAAGAATGATTTTTATGCTTCTGCCACTAGGTGGCAAACACAGACTGAGCAATACTTACCCTTATTAGCGCAGGCCATCCACTTTATTGGCCCAGTGTCATAGTTGTGTTGACCCACAGAGAATGTGAACACACGTACCTGCAATCAAACAGCATAGTATATGCATTCAGAGCAGTTATTGTATTATGCCAAAAAGATCACGTCTGGGTCATATTTAACTAAAATAATAAATAATAAATATTACTCCAAAATTATTGGCACCCCTCAAACAATGTACTATATGTTATAAAATGTGTGTAAATCATTAGAAAATAATGTGTGTAAATAGAATGCATTATAAAATAATCACTACATATAATAATTCAAATTGCTTATTTATTTAGAACCAATCATTCCTACAAAAGTGTTGTTTCATTATAAGAATAGTGTATTCTTTTAAAAACATTTGGACCAAAATTATTGGCACCCCTAAAGAATAAATTGCCATACAATCAAGAAAAGTGCATCTTGGAAGGAGGAGTGACATTTAAGGCTTCATGTTTAAAATCATTTTGACATCCATCAACATTTTCATGTAGGGTGCCAATAATGTTGGATTTTGCTGCATATATAATACATAAAGCAGGTTTTATTATAGATGAAACCTGTTTTAGGACCTACTATATAACATTTATAATATATATATATATATATATATATATATATATATATTTAAAATATAGAAGTATTGGCACATCATTGCAGTTTTTAATGTACCGACTTTACAATTTAAAGCAAATCAGTGCACTATAGTTATATATTCATCTTTTTTTTTTTTGTACAGTGGAAAAGTCTGTAATAAATTAATGAGAACAATCATTGAGAATAATGGAAAGAAAGAAACAAACAAACAAACAAAAAAGACTTAGGAAAGTTTTATAAACATTATGAGAATTTAAGGGGAATGTGAGTTTAATTTCCCCAAAGAATTGTTTGAAAATTTCAAACAATTTAGTTTGAAATGAAGTTTATTATTTCAAATGTAACCTAGATATGTTTTTTGTGACAGTCACCAAACTTCTGTTACCCTCTTACACATGTTTCATTACAAACCGTGTAAACTCCAACTTCACACACACACCTTTCTGTCAATGTTGTATCTGCTAAAGATCTCCTCTGCCCTCTCCTCGCCTCCATCAGTAAACAACATTATGATCTTGTTGCAGTTTGCTCTGGTGATGTTTGGCTGAAATAAGCACAATCATATGCAGTTACACAGAACGACCAGCAGAAGTCAGCAGAACACAACAATACTACTGCTAAAACTTCATAAGGTTTAATCAAAACCCTTTTAGTAAACACTTTTTACTATTTATAGACACATTTTTAAAATAAAAGCTCCTCAAAAAAAAACAGCAAAACCTCATACATTTGACAGCTGATCGAAGGCAAATTCGAAGCCTTTGGTATAGTTGGTGATGCCCTTGGCTGAGATGTTCTGCACTGCATCTTTTAAGATCTTCTTATTGCGAACGTTAGCTTGAACCAGGTGGTCGAAACACGCTGTGTTATTCACTTTTGTGTTAAACTGAAAAAGAAGAGAGGGAGAGAGGCATACAGTAAGTGAAAAATCATTGGTCTGCTCATTGTTTATTCACAGCAAGAGAATCACAACAAAAGTTTGTGACTTAAAAGATCTATATACTGGGGTCAGAACCTCTGCAGGTGTTTGTGAGTATGCGCATGTGTTGTGGTACAGTGATGAAAATAATTTGAGCTGACAAGCTGGATACCCTTGCAAGTTTCTAATTTTCTGTTCAGATAGGGCTCTCTGTGTTCTGTCGCTTATTGCGGCTGACCCCTGTGAACCTGTTACTTCAAAGCTTGAGAGATTGAGAAATATATATACTTTTTTACTTGAAATTGTACTGAAATCAAGAAACCGCTTTAAACTGATGAATATATTCAAGAAGCTCCAAATCTCTGAGGAGAGGTAGGCCACAGAGTGAAAAAAAGAAGGGAAAACAGTATATGGTTTACTGCAGGCTCTAATAGTCCACAAATAAGGTAAAAAATCCTAAAAATAAAGTCACTTTTTATGGTTTCAACCTCATGATATTAAAATCAATATTATATCAGCAGTTTTATATTATATTTATGAGCATGATAATGAGCATGAAAATAATCAAATTAAAATAGATATAGATGTAATAGATGTACCCTAAAATGATTAATAAAATAAAATAAAATGTATGGGGTATTTAGGGATCAAAAGTTATTTAGTTATTAATAAACATGTCCTATAAATAAAAAAAAAAGTTGAGAGTGAAATAATAAAACAAAGTAATAATAAAAATGTATTTGGCAATTAAAGATTTTAAAAATAATAAAAAAAAATGTACTAAAATATAATTCAATATTAATTCTAAATGTTATATCAAAATTATGGCACTATTTTAAGTTTACTGCTATATTCAAGAAGCTGAAGACCTCTGTGGAGAGATTTTGTTTGTTAGTTAGTTCGTTAGTCAGTTAGTTAGTTAGTTAGTATTTATTTTCTAATAAAGGAAATAAAAGTTGGTTGGTGAGAGTAAAATAATAAAAAACACAAAATATTAAACGTTTTTTGGCAATTAAAACTAGAAGATCTAGGAGGGGTCACCATTTTAAAAGGAAGAAAAAGACACTCCCTGTGTTTAAAACTAGCTACATGTCATTCTATGTTAATTTTAAGTTAGTTAATAGTTTATTTAATTTATCAAACAGTTTTCAATACAAAAAAAAAAGTTCCTCTGATGCTTAATTGGACACCAATTTGTACCTTATCCAGGGACGGCGCCTCCTATAACCCTAACAAATGGAAAAGTCAGAATGATTAACAGGTGCAAGTCAATTACGGCACCATTACAGCTAATGAGGAGGTATGTGCAAGCTCATGCAAAAATTAAAATGATTACTATATCTCCAGCTCTCCCCGAGGATGTGAAAAAGCACATGATGCACTTCCTATGGCAAATGCAAGCAGAATACACCTTCAAACCTCCCATGTTTAGCGTAGTGCAGTTTTTCATCTATTTTTAATGATCCAGTGCTTATTTTTCATTGATGTCAACTCAAAAGGCTTCCAGACTTTGAATTTCTGACCGGACAGAGAGAGACGTCCGCTTCATTAGACACATGCACCAGTCATTGATGTAACTGTGGGATCAGGTGTCTGTGCTCTGTTGAATGAGCTGGATGTCACAGTGTCTGCTGAATGAACCAATGAGTCACAGTTCGATTAGTCGCTCTAGCGTTGACTGAATATTTAATTAACGCTCGGAATTATCGCCATGGAGGCCCCTGTGACTCACGGCTCTCAGCATAAGGTGGGTTATAAATAGAAGAATAGGACACATTGATGATACACAGACCCCTACACACACCAGACGGCGCACACTCGCGGTGTAGACGGCTTCGTTGCTTATAACAAGAACGCTCTAGTTCTGTCGTGTCACGTCTCTCCCCAGAGGAACGTTTTATTGCTCGCGGGCTGCTCGTTCACAGCTCAGGGGATTTAAAGGAGTTTTCAATTATGCTTTAAGTTAAGTATTACAATTTCCTCAGTTGCTTCTTTGAAAAGTCCTATGGAGAAATAAAAATAGAATCAGGACCCCAATATGGAGGAGAAGGGTCTTGTATCTTCCCAAAGGGGTCTATGTAGCAATAATGACCAGCTGACTTATTGTCCCACTTACTACGTGGCAACTTAATCCAGTTTTTAGTTTTCATTTTTTTATTTAAAGGTGACATATCATGAAAATCTGACTTTTCCAGGTTTTAAGTGCTATAATCAGGACCCCGGTCCATCTACCAACCAAGGAAACATGAAAAAGATTGACCCAGTAACTTTGTTTTGGTAAACCTTTTTCTGCAAGCGTCTGAAAAAACAAGTGCGTCTGATTTCACTCCCTTGGTGACGTGGCAAAGGGATCTCATTATAATATTACCGCCCCTTAATCTGTAAATTTCCAACCACGGCGCCGACAACAATGTACCAGTTCTAATGCCATGGCGAAAGTTTGAGCAAAAAATGGTGGAGTATTTTGAGCTGAAACTTCACAGACACATTCTGGGGACACCAGAGACTTATATTACATATTGTAAAAATGGCCATAATATGTCTCCTTTAAATTGTAATATGTGAGAAGAGAGAGAGAGTAGAGTGCATCACCTGCCTTAACCTTTGTGCTGTGCTGAAAATACTTAATCCAATTTGGTGTTTCCTAATTTGATTTGCTTGTAAATATCTCATCATGCTATATTATCAGAAAATTTTGATTCAATATTTTGTCAACTTGTTTATTTTCAATTAACACATTTCTTTTTTGGAACTGATTAATCGTAGGCCTCACTGATCTGAGCTTATGCATCTCAGTATTTGAGTGAAATAAGCATTATTTGTGAATAATTTTGACAAAGTCAAAAACTGAGGTGCATAAGCTTAGAATAATAAGGACAAATTTATGAGCCGCTTTTTATAAGCCGTTCAGTTTTGACAGCCAGGAAAGCCACAAGCGTAACAAGGTTTTTTCAGGTTTTAGTCCAATGTAATAACATTAACTAGGGTCAACTCATTTTATTTCCATCATTTTAACTCTGGGTCAAAATGACGGAACATCAGAACAAAACTTTTTCTTAAAATAAATGTAATTTATATTAAAAGAATTTCAATTATGGATTATGTAGCATAATTAAGGGTAAACGTATTTCCACTGATAACAATTTGCTTAAATTTTAACTATTTGATATTTCAGATATTATTATACACATACAAATAAGATATTTTAATTCTGGATTATGCAGAATGATTACATATTACATGGCTACTCACAAAATTAAGTAGCCATTTAATACGCAAATAAATTCACTAAATTTCACATTTCATGATGCATTGCATTGTTTATTATATAATTGGAATTGAATCAAATTATTATCAGAGCAAATATTTATACCTTTAATTAAGCTGCATAATCCAGAGTTAAAATATTTGTCATTTATATATTAAAATATTTTTGTAGAAAAGGCCACAATCAAGGCAGGTGATGCATTCCACACTCTCTTTCTTCTCACACATTAGAATAATTGAAAATTAAATGGTAAGTGAAAATAAAATATTGCTTTTATTTTGTATTTAAATTTAAATTAGTGTAATATGCGAGAAGATAGAGAGCATGGAGTGATACAAATTATTATACAAAAATAAATAAGCAACCACTGTGCTTGATAAACCAGAATCAAATATTGTAGACCACAGTGTAAATAACAGCTATTAAATTAACTGAATTGATAAGCTGGAAAATGTAAAAACAGTTTGATACATGGTTAAAATCCCTTTTGAAACATTAGAAGAGACAAACGTGAGAAAAAGCTGAGAAGAAGAAGAAAAAGTCTCACTATTTAGTCTCACTGCTGTATAGAAGAAACCATTAAGATATTAAAGAGATTCTGAAAGCATACATTTGATGGTAGATATTAAGGTCACATTTGCAATTTTTCTTTTTAGAGAGGGTGTATACCCTGTACAGAGTGTGTGTGTGTGGGGGGGGCAGATTCATAAACTGAGAATCTTATTCCATTCTTTATCTCCAACCAGAGAAAGGGACATGTTTCCTGCAATAAATCCACCTCTTAAAACCAGAGTAACCACAAGGGATCAATTTAAAGCTGTAATCTTATGTTCACCGTTCAAATTGTTTGTCATGCTGCAGGTCAATTGCACTAGTCAATCATTTCCTATGAAAATCCGTCCCACTGATGAGTCAATATAAAGGATGAATCGGGTAATATCCTTGAACAATACAGTGGCGGCTGCCACAGCAGAGCCCTAATGAGCATCAATAACCTTGATTCAATATTTGTCTTCATAAACAGCTAATCAAATATTTATTCGGACAACAACTGAAATTTGAGACACTTTAGATAACCAGCAAAGAGGAAGAATGTTTTATCATAATATGGCATATTCCATTGTCTCTCCCTCCTATAAATGTCACATTTGCATGGATATGCATCTATAATGATTATAGCTCTTATGTTAAGACAAAGGTCTGAATGTAGCATTATCTATGAAAGAAGCAAGCATGCATTTGTTTCACCTACTTTGACTCAGCCTTAAAAATATTTGAATTATAGATTTAATTAATTATGGATTATGCAGCATAATTAACGGTGTAAATATTTGCTCTGATAATGGCTTGATTAAAATGGCTTGATTAAATATGCAATGCAATGTGTGAAATTGAGTCCATTTTAATCACATTTTATTATTTTGGTACAACATAGTAAACTGAAAATAGATGAGAAATTCTGTTTTGGATAGGAAAAAAAAAACTATGCATAATGCTTGAATATTATTGTAAATTGATGATTAAATTGTATAATCAACACATGAATTGTTTTCATTTATACATGATGTATTTTACACTCAAAAGCATAACCCAAACCCATTTTTATGATCTTATGTGTAACCGCCTGCATCATTGGCCCACAAATACTGTATGATCAAATGACCAAATCTAATCATTTCCTTCAGTTGTTTTTTCAAAA